GGATGAACGGTTCTCGAAATTGCTGTGGTAAGCACTTCCAGGGGCTGAGTAATTGGCCTGCGTGGTACAGGCATGCACTGCTCATGGCCTCCCTCCAACTGACCACTGCATTAGTTAGGAATAAAGAGAGAAATATTGATTGATAATGAGTAAGCTGTTTCCTGGAACACCAATACTGGAGTTTTGTTTTCTCTGGAGCAGCATTATGACAAGTGGCACTCATCTGTCTACTTCTCCACATGACTAACTCACTTGGACAAATGAATACACTCTGACACACACACGACCCCCTCATACCTCTGGGAGGTCCTCCGATCATCTGATCCCTCTGCCTCGCATGTTCCTCCATCCTCATCGTCTCCTCCTCCAGAGCTCGTCGGGCCTGCTCTTCCTCCAGTAAAATCAACTCGTTCACCTCAAAGTACCAGCCTGCGTGGCAGCAACAATAAATTATCCACTGTTCGCCCATTAATAATGCAAAACCTACTTAATATTAATGTCAAAACAAACCTTGGTTGTCAGTGATCATCTCCTCAACCTTTTCCATCAGCTCGGGAACCTGCGTGTTGTCTTCAGTTTCTTTACGAGTGTTATCAAAGGCATGATACCTGAAGGTGGAAAAAAAACGTGTTTCAGATTAAGTTCACTTTACTCAAGATGATGGGTCCTTCTCATGAATAAACAGTAATTTTCACTTTCAGTGGGCGTAGAGCTTTAACTTAGCAATCAGTTCGGACTTCGTAAACAAAAAATCTCCCCTGACTAGACTCTCTGTTCCAAGAGATTTGTTTTCCCCTGAGAATCTTTAGAACTGGTAAGTGGTGTTTGGACATGTTGGAGACTTTCCACTTTCCTTTTACTGCAGCTGGCCCTGAAATTAAAATATGAAAACTTGAAAAACAAAACAAAGACTGGCAATATCTTGGAGGTTATCACAGCTTAGGTTTGAAACTTAAACCCTCAAAATATAAAGTGAACATTGTAGGACTGGGTGTTTTACAATCTGAACTGTATGAATGACTACAAGTCAGAATATCTCCACCTCTGCAGCAATACTAAGCCGCCGGAGTACCCCTTAAATCTAAGTTTAATGGTTTATAACATGAGATGTGTACAGTTGGCGAGGCCAGCCTGTGAAAAAGGTGCTCCACCTACATTAACCACAATGCAACTTGGCCGTCCAAACCTCTGTCAGAGATAGGGTGTGTTATGCTAGTTGTAGATTCTGTTGCTCCATCCCCTCAGATTTAATCCATTTACAAACTTGTAGTCTTCAGCCCCAACTAAAGCTGACTCAAATTACATCTCTTAAAGCAATTAATCAGATTGGAAGCGTATTTTAACTGGACTAGGAAAAAAAGGGCCCTTTATCATACACGCAGTAGTACTCACCAAGAGCCGTACAGAGACTTTGACAATTGACAATGTCCATTTAACTGCTGCTACAACCACAATATTCAGTAATTATTCAAACAGCCAAGGGGTGGTTATGTTTTCGGTTTGGTTGGTTTGGCAGCAGGATTGCGTAAAAGCTATGGGCGACGTTTTAATAACACTTGGTGGAAGAGTGTAGCACAGGCCAAGAAAGAACCCATTACATTTAGAAGCAGATACACAAATTATTTTTCACTTTCATTAACATTGGGAGATAGTACATTTGTCCTTGGTGTAGGTCTTTGTTCTCTGAGTGCTCTTTTAGTTTGTGATTTGTTCCGCTTAAACTAACACAGACAAGACAGAGAAAGAGTGTCTTTGTTAAGGATCAATTTCCAGGGGAACTCAGAGAGAATGAAAGAGAAACATTGTACCTGCTGCCGCATCTCTCCACCAGCCACTGCAGGGCCTCTCCAGTGTTGGCGATGTGTTCCTCAATGAAGACCTCTTTAGGCAGCTTGTCCACCCCAGTAAAGACCACCATAGAATACCTCCAGGTCCCTCCTCCCAGGGCCCCCAGCTGCTCATCTGCTGCCCTCTTCTCGGTCTCCGTGAAGGGCTGGGTGACCGACACCACCAGCAGGATGGCGTGGGGTCCAGGAGGGCAGAGGATGGCCCCCATGCAGGGCCCCTCGCTGTCCAGGCTTTGCGGAGGCAGTGCTGGGTTCTCCGACTCGGCTCCGGCGTTCTCTTCGGGGTCGGGTTCTGTGTTTTCCACCACTGGGTCGCTGGGGATGGCCCATGGCGGGGTGTCCACCACGGTGACCCGCCGCCCGTAGATCTCCGTCTGACCCACGTTGCTGTGGGTCGTCTCCGTCGCAACATCGAAGACTTCATCTCCCAGGATGCTGTTGGCCGTGGAGGTCTTACCGGACTGAGGCCCCCCCAGGATCAGGAGTCTGCGCTCAGGGGGCTGTCGGCTTCTGGGGTCCCCTGTTGAAACACAGTGTGGTCAAATGTATCTCTGTTTGGCCCCTTTATTCAGTTGGATAACCTTTTGTGCTTCGGGTTAGGTAAATGGATTCACTTTGTTTTGGAGGTCCAATATGGAGCCTTGCCCGGGGCTGGAATTTGGCCGATAGTGTTTATTTGATAGATTGTCTACATTGTAATCTTTCACTGTCAATGTCTATATATTGTACATTTTAGTTCTGTTTTTGTATGTTGAGATGTTTCTATTTTAGGTTTATGTTTGTTTATTTTCTACTCTTTTTCATATTCAAATGATAACAATACCATATTTTAAAAAGCTGCTGTGACGAAACGTTTTACCAAATTGGTATTAACAAACAAAATCGTATCTTTATCTTACTTTCCTTTTTTCCCAGGTTTCTATATGAGGGCATGAATCCAGAGCTCAGGTGAGAGCGGTAACATACATTATTTTGTCCACACATACAGAACACTTTCTTTTGTTTGTCTCTAGTTATAGCAAGCTATTGAGGCTGTTGTATGTATACTTTGCTTTTCAATTAAACGTTTATCTCTTTGCTCCCTTTTTGGATCTCTTTTGAAGGCGTGTCTAACTGCAAACATCCTACCTGGAGACTCGAGTCTCGTTCGGTTCTAAGATTATATGTGAGGTTCCCCACAAGGATGTGTTGATTTTATTTTCTGACTTTGGCCCCTAGAGGAAATGATCCTGATCCTTTGGTTTGTTCTAATCTGTCTCCAAAGTTTGTTCTTGTCCAAGTTTTTTTGTGTTCTCCTGCATTCTTAGTACTCTAGTGTTTTCAATCTCCCCTGTATCCACTATCCTCACTCTCTAGATTTTCCTCTTCTTATCTGAGCTCCTTGTTACCTCATACCTCTTATACCTCCTTTTCCTCGCCCCCTCTTTCACTCTTGTCCTCATCCCCTTCTCTCCCCTTAATCTGTTCCTAGCTTTTGGAAAGAATTGGGTCAGAAAAGCGACAGACTTTGGACTCCTTCCAAAGAGAGTGACATGTGGACACAATATGATTTAGCAATCACATGAAGAGGATACATGTTTTGATAAACGGCGTCACAGATATGAATGTTCACCAGGAAGGCAAGAGGGTGGATGCCCGCTCTGTGTGAATATGTCAAGAGGGAGGAACATAGAGTGAGGAAAGTTAATTGATTTACCCCCATTACTCATCACTGCTGACACTTTCGATGGAAACACAGGAAGTTATTCCCAGCAACAGTTTCCCAGTATTGAGGATGTTTTGGTTGCGTGAACATGAAATGGCTGTGAGGGTTTACCCCGGATGCTGCTGTGACTGAATGATGAGTGATGGGGGCGGAAGGTGTGCAGCAAAGGATGAAAACCTACTCACCAGTGTCAGAGGCAGAGGACACAGCAGCCATCTTGTGTGTTGAACCTCTGGCTTCCTCCTCCTCGGCCCCCCTCCTCCTTCTCCTTCTCGCCTCCACGGTTGGATTCCTCTTTTAGCCTCTTCAGAAAGCGACGGATCCTGAGTGGTGTTTGAAAGGCTGGCAGCTCGAATGCTTCTCGACTCTCTCTTTCTCCCTTACCCTCATTCTACTGCAGTGTAACCCACTCTATCGTCTGTGTACCCCTGCCTCCCTCTGCCATTCAACCTCTCCGCCTCTTTCTCTTTAGTAAAACAAACCTATTACCCTCCACACCCCCTCAAAACCACTATGGCTCCTTTTTTTTCTCGTCCTTTCCCTTCTGCAGCTCTTCTCCTCGTCTCCCTTTTTTGTCTATTTTATCTGCCAGAGCTAGAGGGGAGAGATTGTGCAATGCAGGAGTCTGGTAGCCAAATCCACCCGTGCTGCAGCAGCTCCAAGAAGATGTCTCGTCATTTTTTTCCTGAGGAAATACAGAGAGCTGGTCCTCCCACTTGCTCGTATCACACAGCAGCAGCAGCAGCAGCAGCAGCAACAGCGTGGCACTGTATGCAGACTGCAGTCAGGAGGACAGATAGAAAGATGGATAGACAGAGAAAGAGAGGGAGAGAATGAAAGAGAATAAGGAAAGGAGGGGGGCAGAAAGGGAGCACTCTGTTCTCTGTTTACAGCTGGATGTATTCCCCAGCTGCTGCATCATCGTGCACAAACACAACTATTTATATGAAGCCTGCAGACATCAAAAACATTTTTGTGAAGCAGGGAGGGGATGTGGGCTATACGGCATGAATGAATTGAAATATTGATATAAGACATACAGCCAAAGCTTATATGATACATAACACCTTCAATAAATAGCATCTTATTGTGATACTTGCTATGAATTTAAAGCCCTGATTGTGAGTCATTTCTAACAGATGGTGGGTATACTCATTATAAATCACCCTGAATGTTTGAGCTCATCCTTGGCTCCTGAACAGGTTCATTATGCACGCTATATGGCGAGATACATTCAAGGACCCAAAATCACGTGTTTAACCAACATATGGTTATTATTTTCTTCATAGTGCATACATAATATTTTAAAACCTCTAAAATGTTCTAACCGTTGACGTACTCTCACGTAATGGGGCGTTGTTTCAACTCTGTTGCGTCCGGTTGCGTCGCAGCTGTTTTTAAACAAACACTTTAATTAGACTTGCCACTCTGCCGTAAACCGATAGAAAGTGTCGCACGCTGACCTCACGCCGTACGTCGTCGTGTACTGTCGCAAACCTCTCTCCATGTGATGCTACAATCTGCAGTCGGCTACTTCGGATGCTAGTGTGTGTGTGTGTGTGTGAAGGTGCAGAGCAGACTTTAGTGTTTTAGCAGACTAAACCCCGTTTAACAAACATGGAGGCAGCCGACGAGTTCATGAAGTACCGTTCACCACTGGTGTCCAGGTATGCTAGCAAGGAAATGGCCTACAACTTCAGTGACAGGAAGAAATTCACCACCTGGAGGAAGCTGTGGATCTATCTGGCCAAGGCTGAGAAGGTTTGACACATTGAAGCTGCAAAAATAACAAAGCTAGCTTGTGCCCTTTCTTGTTTATATGCACAATATGTCATGCTTTGTAAGTGAACTAAAGTTTGCGACCTTTAGAGAGCACTATCAAGTTCCCTCTATATATAGTTTTAAGGAGGGACAGCCTTTGGGAAGTTTCTGCATGATGCATGTCACTATAAGTGCTATCTCTGCTCCTTGTACCATACAACTGGGAACTAAACACATAATATAAAGTATCAAGACAATCTATAAAGGCAACAAATACAACAGTTTATCAGAAATCGTGTTATTTTTCAAGTTCAAAAGTTATACAACTCTCAGAAACCATGAATACATTTAGATTGTAACCTCACTTACAAACACAATGAACATTTACTTATTTAATCATACGTTTTAACTTCTAGTTATAGAGGAAAATGAGGTATATACAACTAAAAACGTGTACATTTGTATTTTAGTATACCAGATACTAATGGACTATTCTATAAGATGGAGTCTCGTAAGAAAACAGGTTATATTGAACTTCATTTCTGTTTTACACCAAATATCATGTTTGCGTTCTTTACAATGATAACCATTGACAGAAAATGTTGGCAAAAATCCACCAGCATCACTGCAACAAGCCATAAAAATGTTTCTGGTTTAGTTTTTTTGGCACTTATGCAATATACAGATTTATACATTGTCAAAGTCAAAGTCAGCTTTATTGTCAAAATTACTACATGTGTTATACATCCAGAAATCTCGAGATACCGTTTCCCGCAGTCCCACAGTGTGACATATATATACATAAAACAAAACAAAAAGGGCCTAGATAAACAGGGTATACAATTTTTTAAATGTTAATAATTTATTTAAAATGTTAAAAGTACAGTTTCAGTGCAGTAGCAGGTCCGCTTAAGTAGCTTCTTTAAATCTTCTTAACCTTCACTGTCTGACAGTATCACACATGCATATCCTCTGTATCAGTTTATAATATACATGCTCCATCAAATTGAAATATCCTGTATGTGCATTAACAGTTCCCCAAATACCTGACATATTTTAATTTGATTTGGAAACGTGTGGTCTCTATCACAATTCAAACTAATGAAAATGTGGGATTGAGCAATGTTTGGTATCACAGCCTGCAATCATGCCGTCATAGGTTATAAAAAAAAAAAGAAGCACCCTCTGGAACATGTTGACATTTAGCTTGCAGACGAAACAGTCACGTGATCTCTAAGGTCCATCAGCTCATGTTTAGCACACAGGCATCATCACATGCAGAAATGTGCTTAATATTCCTCTCTTAGCATCAAAAACACTCAAATCCTAATTCTGCAAATCTTATAATGACTTAAAGTGAATTCTGCATTAGCTCTATTAAAGCAGACAGGAGGGGGGTTAACTGGAGACAGACCCTCTCTCACATGCATCCCCTCACATGACCACACACTAATCCCAGCTGATCAGAGTCCGTCCTCTCTACATTTGGGATGTTATGTTATCTTGCTGCAGAGCTACGAGGCCTGTGGCTGCCTCTGTGCGGCTCGTGTGTGAAAATAGCATTTAGAGAATGTCCCAGTAACAGGATCCAGAACAACCCGGAGAGGCTGCGTGTTACAGTTACGTTTTTAATATTTCTTTATTCAGTCACTATTTATAGACTTTCTAACAGACTAACCTTTGACCTTTGACCTTTAGCCCTCCTTTAAAGTCCCTCTCAGTCTTACATTAAAGTGCCTAAAATGAAGGCCTAAAAATGTCTCGATAGCCTTAAATATGCTTTTCATTAGCCATATATATAATGCTCTTCTGTTCCGTTAATCTGCAGATAATTAAAACGCTTATCAGAATTTCTTTAAAGCAAATTCAAGCAAGTGCTTCACTATCAGCTTCTTAAGATTTAGTGTTTACTTTTAGCTAGATTTAGACTTGTTATTTATGATTATTCTATTATTTAAACATGTCAATAAATTCATGAACTTAAAGTAATTTTAGGGGTAACTTTAATTCATAGGCTTCTCGTTTTTGTTCATACTTCAAAGGCTTGAGTGTAACACAGAAATGGTTATTAAATGTCATTCTATGTGGTATTACAAACATTTAACTTTTTAAAATCCTGCTCAAACCCTGCCTTCAAAGCTTTTGTAAATTCTGTTTAGATTTGAACTTTAGCTGGATTACGACCTCATATAAATAACTATTACTTTTGTATTATTCAAACATGTCAATAAATACATTTTCTTAAGGTAATTCTGTGGCTTATTTTGATGCATAGGCAAAAATTGTTTCTTCAAATTTCTTCGAGTTTGTGTGCAAAATACAAATGATTATTACATGATACTCCATGTGGTCTTTAAACTCTTACATCTGCAGAAACCCTTTTGTCAATTCTGTTGTCCCATCACATGACTGCTTTATCCCGATAGAGAAACTTTAATCTAATCAGGATCTCACGAGGAGACACTGCAGAGAGGACAGAAGGAAAAGTCATCATCTGTTCAATCATCCCAAATCGACGTGATTATTTTAACCTAATAGAACAAGGACATCAAATCATAATACAATCCATGCTCTAATAACATTGGCTATCAGCAACCTCTTAATTCTTCCACTGCCACTACGTTTTTTTTGCACTAGTAAAAACTGGTAATATTTACATTAATGATGTGACCGTCTATGTTTCATGTTTCCTGTAGATATTTCATTTATTTTTTTACTGCAGTGTTAGTGTAGAGTTTTAATATTATGCTGCTGTCTTCATCACTCTCCTCCTCCTCCTCCTCCTCCTCGTCCTCAGGCTTTGGGTTTGACCATCACCGACGCCCAGATTGTGGAGATGGAGAGCCACGAAAAGGACATCGACTTCGCCATGGCGGCCGAGGAGGAACGTAAACTCCGACACGACGTCATGGCTCACGTCCACACCTTCGCTCACTGCTGCCCCACCGCCGCTCCCATCATCCACCTGGGCGCCACCTCCTGCTACGTGGGAGACAACACTGTAATTATTCCGTACATCGCACACTTTCTAATCAATAATGTCATATTTTATACTTTTTTTCTTTTTTTAACACTTTATTTATTGGTTTTTCCCACACATAACACAATAGCAGGAGACAATACAGAGTACCAATGCAGGTGCTGTATAAAAAGAAGTACGAAAAATATGACAATTATAATGAAAATAACATAAAAAGACCATTACAGTAATAACAATGACAAATAAACTTAAATATACAATGACATGATACATTGAGGAACTTTCTGACCACATATAAAGAATAAAATAAAAGCCTGGGACTGAGTGTTTGATAAAATGACAAACAGGAAACAGAGATAAGGGAGTTTTATGCTTTTACCAAATATTTGGTGGCTTGAATTTGATTAAAACATTATTGACAAAAGGGAGATAGGAAATGAATGGGGACATATCCTGCTCATGTTCAGGTTCATATCAGTATGTAGTGTCTCTACTGGGACATGTCTCCATGCTTTAATGTTCAAAAAGCTCTTTTTTTTCTCATACAGCCTGTGCTGCAGCACCTCTTTTCACCCTCTGTCTAAAACCAGAGCCCAGTCTGCTTTGATTGGTTAGCTGGCCGGCTCTGTTGTGATTGGTCAACCGCTTAGAGATGTCCCGCCCCTTAGCCTATCACGTACAATGTGTTTCAGCCAGTCACTATGTCCCTTTCTCATTTCTCTAATTCCCCTCCTCGACTCCTATCCTCGTGACTTAGTCCCGCCCACAGCAGATGCGAGCGGAGGAGTCGAGGAGGGGAACCGAGGAGAGAGGAGTGGAAGCAGCAGGCGGTTAGAGAAATGAGAACTCCTCTCCTCTGAGCGGTCATTTTAAAGAGACGTCCATTAATGATGACACAGCAGCCCTCTGTCTGATGGACAGATGTGTTCCTGACCACATATTTACTTTGATTCATTCACAGTGCGGTATAATGAGACAATAACAGGCCACAGATGCGGACACACACACATATATTTATATACAATTTCCGAATCAAACAAGTATGAGAGCACTCTCATAATAACGTAACACAATCAGAGACTGGATATATGAGTTATGGAAGTAAACAAAGGAGTCCAATGGAGGCGGTTAAGGCAGGCG